CTCCTCCTCCTCCTCCTCCTCCTCCTCCTCCTTCTCCTCCTCACTCCTCCTCCTCCTTCTCCTCCTCCGGCCCAAAACCGGCCCCCCAAAAACCAGACCGTCCCGCGACCGCCGAACCGAACCGGCATAACCGACCGGACTGGCAAAACCGGACCGACCAAAACCGGACCGGCGCCGAAATCGAACCGCTGCAACCGAACCGGTCCGCCGCCGAACCGGCCCGAACCGGCCCGAACCGGACACTTCCTGGAATACGGAAAGTAACAAATACGATTAACCCAATGTCGCAACATAGTTTGCCCCCTGCACTACACAGCGCCCCACGTACAACATTAGGACGGACTCGTCCAGCCGACCACCCACATTGGAGATCCTGTGACACCAGGCAGACGCTTGGGCCTTCAGAGAATACTTAGCGGCCCACGCAAGGAAATAGGGTCCCTTCCGACGGGCTGAAGTCCATTCTCCCAGACCATCTGGGCCCTCCTCCCCCTCCTCCTCCTCCTCCTCCTCCTCCTCCTCCTCCTCCTCCTCCCTCCTCCCCTCCTCCTCCTCCTCCCCTTCCTCCTCCTCCTCGTCCTCCTCCTGCTCCCTCCTCCTCCTCTCCTCCTCCTCCTCCTCCTACTCCTCCTCCTTCCTCCTCCTCTCCTCTTTTTCTTCTTCAATCCTCCTCCTGCTCCAGCTCCAGCTCCAGCTCCTGCTCCAGCTCCTCCTCAACCTCCTCCTCCTCCAGCACCTCCAGCTCCAGCTCCTCCTCCTCCTCCTTCTCGTCCTCCTCCCTCCTCATCCTCCTCCTCATCCTCCTCCTCCTCGTCCTCCGCGTCCTCCTCCTCCTCCTCCTCCTCGTCCCCGTCCTCGTTCTCCTCCTCCTCCTCCTCCCTCCTCCTCCTCCTCCTCCTCCTCCTCCTCCTCCTCCTCCTCCTCCTCTTCTTCTCCCCCGTCTCCTCGGCCTCTGCCGTCGTCGACGAAGTCGCCTTTCCGGCCAGCGCCGCCCTGGCCGCCTGCCGCCTGCTCTGCGCCGCCTGGAACGTGGCCAGGCGGGCCTCGACCTCCCGAAGAACAACAAACGGCATCAGCATAATTTCTCGGAGCTCCACGCGGATTTCTTGGATCGGCGTTGGGCTCCCCTGGCGGCGCCTCCGGTGCCGCCCCTGGAACGCCTCGGGCGCCGCCCCTGGAACGCCTCGGGCGCCGCCGGCCAGTGAGGGGTGCCCAGCGCGGATCCAAGAAATCCTCGCGGAGCTCCAGAAGTGTATGCTTGTGCGTCTGCTTGTTTCTCTCACCTCCCTGGCCACGCGCTTCCTGGCCTCTTCGGCGGCCTCGCACCGCGCCCTGCCGAGCAGCCTGGACAGCTCGCCATCGATGCTGGTCGCCTCGGCCTCCGCCTCCTGCTCTGCGGCTCGCTCGACTGCCGTGGTCGCAGTCATCGCGTCCTGGAGGCCCTTTAGCAGCGCGGCGATGTCCTCCATGGGAGGAGAGGAAGGTTAGGAGGCAGCTCCATCAGATCTTCGTAGGAACGCTTGTAAGCGATCAAGCCCGATCAAACTGGACTAGCCTGGAATAGGCCTGGGCTGGGACTGAGCCAGAACAAGCGGGATCAAGCGGGAGCAAAGAGCATTTAGCGAAATCATACCGGATGTGGCCAGTTTCTGACCACAGATATACCAGCGCCGATGGTGAATTTAAACTCCCACGAGCTGCACCCTAAGGAAGGAGAGGATGTGGGAGGAGGGGAGGAGGATGTTGGAGGACGAACTCGGAACTCGCTGGTCCGCAGAAAGATCCCATCCTGGAACCGGTGCCCGGGGTGTGCAGCACTCGAGGCAGGCTGCAGACCGAAAGGGCCCGCGTCTGTGGGCAGAGCACGCACGAGGGCCTAGAGGAGGAGGGTCTGAGGCTGCAAACCGAAATGGCCAAGATCTGCTGGAGGAGAAGGAGGAGGAGAAGAACCAGAGTAAACCCGGGATGCATCAAGGATGCTGCCACACGCCATCCCGTCCCATGTTCCCTCCTCGCAGGTCCACACAAGCATTCCTTTCACTACAGACGGCGCGCGCCCCTTGAGGGACGAGCACCAAAGGCCCTGCCAGTAAGGCGAGCCCCTGGTCGAAAAGGAACTGATTGCATCCTTCTAGCGAACGATGGTGAATGCCAAAAAAGTAGGGCCACAAAGGTAAACGAGATGTCATACGACAGCCCCGCTTTTCGACAAACCGCCCCTCACCCCGACGCGCAGCTGCTACATCATACCTATACAACCACCCTTCGGGTGATAAGGAGGTTGGAGGGGAAGGAAAACCCACTGACAACAACTGCGTTGACTGTGATGGCAATCAGATGGCGACATTGCACGATGACGCTGATTGTGAGAATGAAGAATGGTGATTGTAATGAAGGCAACACAGCCGCGATGGAGCTCACACCACATGAATGCAACCTCGCATTCGACCCCGATCGATTTTTTATTCAGCGGGACGCTGCAGACAAATCAGCGGCAGCGTGAAAAACAAGAGCTCCCCTCTGAGCGATGGGCACAATGTTCCTTACCTGTGAGCCTGGCACAAGGATGCCCAGGCTATGGGGGCACAAGAGGGAGACCCAAGCAGCAGGGGGCTTCCAGTGCCTACGCGCTCTTGCCAGAGCATCGGCGTTAATTGTTTGGGCGTCCTCCTTGATCTCCCCTTCTCTTCTTCCTCTTCCCTCCTGCTCCTTCCCCGCTCCACGCAACTCACTCGCGCCATTCTTTATCTGCCAATGCTCCGCTTGGGCGCCAGGCCTGACTGACTCCCTCTGCGCGATGCCCGCGTGCCCGTCCGCCAGCCCTGCAGCAAGCCGCCACGGCGGGCCGCCTGCTCGACTCCCCCTTGGAGCGCGCCGGCAGGGGCCACGGCGTCTGCCAGGGGACGCACGGCCGCGAGAGGGCCGAATGCTCAGGCCAGTTGTTCGGATCAGGTCTCATCGCTTCGCGATCGGTCCCTCCACCCCTTCTCATTGCATTCCACTTCTCAGCCGTCCTCCATCCAACCTTGGAATGGGCGGCTGAGTGAGCCGCCGGGCTCACGGGCAGTGCCCTGACTCGCGCATCATGTTGTGGCCGAGTCCCGGTGGCGGCCCGCGCTGCTGTCAACGTACAGCTAACGACCTGTCAGGTGCCCGACTGCGCCCCATCAGCGGGAGCGGCCTCTCGCTTCAGGGCGGCGCTGGCTGCGGTGAGAAGGTGGCCGGTGGGAGGGGGGAGTCCAGGAAGGAGGCGTTGGCCCGTCGGTCACGAACCAGGGCGCGCAGCCGTCGCTCGGTGTCCCCGAGGTGTCGGCAGCATGCCCTGGGCTTGACGGCTCGCGATGATCAGCCCATTTTCATCTGAGCAACTGACCTGTCTTCCTGCCAAGGGCATGCATTCAGAGAGGGCTTGGGGGGGCAGACGGAACGCTTGCAAGATCGCCAAGCGCAGAGGCTCGCGAAAAAAAGTGGCTGCTAGTTGGCTGGGCTGGATCAAGTAGCATCGAATTGGGACACCCGAGTGGACGGGATGAAATGGGACGCCCAGATCGAAGGTGATGAGGAGTGCTGCAAAGCCCAATCACATGTGGGATTTAGCGAATTCGGATGCTGGATGCCATTGACTAAGGAAACTGAGATCACAAAACCAGCGTCGGCAATACCTCGCAAGGCGAACACACGTATGTCTTCGACATCGCGGGCTGTAGAGACGCTGCCCACCCAGACGTCTGGAGCACCGTGGGTGCAGTTAAAAAGAAGAAGAACGAAGAAACTGTGACGGAGTCTCAGGCAAACGCCGAAGCACGAACACCTGCGAACACGGCGACGTGTAGCGCTTGAAAAACATTCAGGCAAACGTACCCATTCTGCCTGGAGCTCGAATGAACTGCATTCACGAAAAAGTTTGTGCAGGTGGATGCAGATGCGACATTTGTCTTCGAGGGGCACTTTTACCAACTCCCAGGCGCACCCATCAACGAGCGGCCTTCACGCACCTGGCTGACAGCACGTCTACCGCTTCGGAGGCACTCGCCCTGCGGAGGGGCTCGGGCCTCAGCAGCGCCTCCAAGCACGCCAACGCCGCTCCGTCGTGCACGCCGCCCATGCTCGCTATCGCCTGGGCATGGGAGCCAGCTTGGGCGAAGAACTCGAGTATCTCCCGCATGACCTGCGCGAGGTGTGCGCAACGGCGCCACGGCACCGAGAGCTCGAGCGAGCCTTGCCCACAAGCGGTCTCCAGGAGCACCACCCCTAGGCTCCAACAATCTGCCGGCTTGGGCCAGTACGGCTCCCCCAGCCTGGGCTTTGGCCAAAGCCGTCCTGGGCCGTGGTCGAAGCCGCCCTGGCAGCTGCCAGATCAGTTTCGGCCTGCTTGATGCTGGCTTCGACAGCGGCCATCTCGGCATCCAGCTCGGTCCGTTGCAGTTTGATGGCCTCGGCGCGGCCCTGAACGTTCTGCAGCTTCTTCGTGCTGCTTTCCACCCTCCTCCACATGTGGTCTGCGCAGAAGGCGGCTTTCCCTCGGCCTCCTTGGCCTTGGCCGCCTCCGCCGCCTCCGCCGCCTCCGCGCCCGAGGCGTCGAGGCCCAGCTCCTCGAGGAAGTCCGCCACCGCCTTGCAGGTAAGACCCTCGTCGTGGGCCTCCGAGCCCTGAGCTTCGGGCCTGTCCTTCCCTCTCGGCTGGCCTCCCGTAGCGTTGGTCTCGTCATCATACCACGGCGGCAGCGTCGGCTCTGGCTCACCACTGAGCTCATGGATGGGACGCGTTTGTTCATTCCCTTGTCCCGTCTGCGGCGGACTCTTGGACCAGGCGCGTCTCGCGCCCCACACATAGATCGACACTGACAGTGCTTTGAGCGCAGCAGCCGCCCGCCGAGCCGACTGGATAACCCGCGCCTAGGCATCCTTGACACACGACCTGCACTTGATCCTTGAGGCCCAATTGTCTGGACATCCGCAGTTGCAACTCCACACGGGAGTCTTCGCGCGTGGCAAGACATCGGGTGATGGCACCATCTGCCGCAGGCTGCTGCAGCTGCTGGCGCCGTTCGCTGGTGAATTGGCCCATGTTCACGAGCCGCTTCGAAGCACGTGAACACAAGCACGGTTCCTCTCCTGAAGAGCTCTTGAGAGAACGGCTAGGAAGGAGGGAGGAGTATGAGGGGGGGCGGAAGAGGCGGAGCACGAGCAGGAGGAGGAAGAGGAGGTGGTGGAGGGAGGAGAGGGGAGGGGAGAGAGGAGGGGAGGACGAAAGAAAGAGAAAGAGAGGGACAAGGGAAGGGAGGACGAGCGACAGTACGTACTCCATGACATGTGCGTTACAATCACCTTACTGCACCTGTGCGCGCTGCTGAGAGGGGGGAGGAGGACGACTGCGATGAGGATGAGGAGGATCAGGAGGGAGGGAAGGAAGATGGACGAGGGACGAAGGATAACAGCAGCCCTGAGTGTCGGCAGAGCCAGAGGCCACGCCTCTCGAGGAGTTACATGTAGCCCGGAAATAAACGAACAGAGCAAAGCACACATGTACAAACATACACACTTTTGGCGGAAGTAGCCTCGCGCGCAGCGACGAGGCGGAGCCAACAAAAATACTAAGTGCGGGATCGCAGCCGGGCCCTCCATGCTCGCCGTGGATTCGGCACCCATACACTCACAAGCACACTCCTGTGTGCATACACACAACGGGATCCTGCCTCGACAGTGTCAGCTCTTGTTCATGTCATCGCGTGAACCGTTCAATATTGAACCACCGCTGCTGTCGATGGGAGGATAATGCGCGGTCATGCGCGGCTACCATTCCATGTTCGCTCTTCCTATCTTCTTCGCTCTTCCTCGTTTCTCATTCTCAACCGCCATGCCACTCCTCACAGATTGGATCCGCAGATTCCCCAACCCCCCACCCCGCCGCCAGCCACTCCTCCTCATCCTCTCTCATTGTCATTCTGGAACGCCCGCGCCGATGCTGCCGCGGCGCCGAGAGTGAACCTAGAGTGTATGAGTGTGTGCGGGGAACGTGTGTGTCGTTGCGCCTCGTGGGTTCCTGTTCGTGCGTGCTTCTATGTCAATTTCTGACGTGCTGGTGGCCTCGCGATTGCTGCCAGAAGCCTTGAGGACCAGAGTTCAGCGTGAAGGGAAAGTGGGGCCTCGCAACCTTGATGTATCCCGCAGCGTATTATATCCTGAAGCGTGAACATACAGCATGGGCAATCCTCCACTCGGCAGGGGAAACAAGATATGGCTAAGGATCGCTCAAAGGTTGCTGGGAACACGGCGCGAATCTGCCAACAACTGAAACAGTTAAGCTGCAAACTACACTCTCGCGTACAACACGAAGTCAGAGGGTTGGCACCCAGACCCAACGACTTCCTATCGACCCTCCAGGACCGCACCAAGGGCGCTCACAGGAATCCTGATCCTGGTCTGCGTTGTCCTGCTGCTTCTGCCGGAAAGCCCAAAGCCGGACCCTCTATGCAGGCAGAGTCGATCGAGTCGCATCGATTGCATCACCGAGTCGGCCGAATCGAACGCCATTTGTGGAAGAGAGGATCGACCAACGGGGTGCGTCATCGAATCGATCGATGCCACGCGCGGACCTCAATGACACGAGCAGACCTCAGCGCACATCGCCGAATCGCTCGAACCGTGGACGGCTCCGGTAAGGCGATGCAAATGGCTCCCAGACTCTGGAGACGCAAGACAATCATGCTCGGCTGCCAATTCGCCCTCCAATGTCAGGAAGTGGTCCAGGGACTGATGTTGTCGGAGTCTGACACTTCTCCAGGTCCACAGCCTTCCTCCTCCCCCTCCCCCTCCGCCCGTGATCCGTTTCCCCTCGCCCCGGGAGGGAGGGAGAGGGGGAGAACGAAGCGGATCCGTGTCGTCGTCCTCGCCCGCTAATTTACAATCCACAAACCAAAAAAAACAATGACAACAACAACAACAACAACAACAACAACAACAACCACAACCACAACCACAACCACAACCACAACCACGACGACGACGACGACGACGACGACGACGTCGACGACGACGACGACGACGACGACGACGACAACAACACCAACAACAACAACAACAACAACAATCATTTAAGACTGGGGACACTCCGTTCTCACCAGTGCTAGGGTTTTCATAGGAGGCGGGCAATACCCCCACTTTGTGGGGGGGCCGGTTCAAGCTCTACCAAATTTCCAAACGACTCTTCGCCACCACCCACACCCAGCTTCCCGCCCTATGACGTTCGGACACTTCACTTCGTGGCATGCGGACGACCGTGGCTACTATTCAGGGCCCCGCGGCCGACGACGACGGCGTGCGCGCGCGAAGAAAAAACGAATGTGTCCCGCATGGTATTATTTGACAGGGATGATGGCCCTGGCAGGTGCGCAACCGTTGTCGCAGAAGTTCGAAAAAGTTGCTCGCAAAAGCCCGTTTGACAGAAATGTTTAAAAAGTGTTGGGTTTCCTACGAATCCGCAAGAGCGCGCGGGATGAGATTTTGACATTTTTTTGTTGAAAAACCATTGGTTTTTTGATGTTTTTATGTTAAAATCGCTCGAACACTAAGCTTTTGGAAGGATTTCGTCTTGCGCGCGCGAATGTCCACTTTACCTTATTTTTTGCAAGGGATTCTTGAAATTTGATTATATTAGAACAAGAAATGTCATTTTCTATTGTTTTTTGCAAGGGAAAGCGGATTACAACAAAACAACCGGATCCTGTACACACCCTCTTTTCTGAGGCTTCCTCACGAAAATGATGAAAATGTAGCTGCGGCCTAGGCGGCGCAGGGGGGGCGCGCACCAGGGGGCCCAACAATAATTATTCTTTAGAATAAATAATGTTCAACAACAACAACAACAACAACAACAACGACGACAACAACAACAACGACAACGACAGCGACAACGACAACGACAACGACAACGACAACAGCAAGAACAGCAACAACAACAGCAGCAACAACAACAAAAACAACACACGCCCGAGCCCACCCCCCTAAGCCCACCACAACCGCCCGCCCAGCGGTCCCGCTCTTCGGGGTCGGCCTTGAGGTCCTCGAGGCGGTCCCGGCAGGCCTGCGCGTGCCCCTGCGCCTGCGGAGGGGCCGCAGGGCGGGGAGAAGGGGGGGGGGGGGCAAGGGCGGAGAGGGAGGAGAAGGAGGAGGAGGAGGAGGAGGAGGAGGAGGAGGAGGAGGGGGAGGGGAAGGAGGAGGAGGAGGAGGAGGAGGAGGAGGAGGGGGAGGGGGAGGAGGACAAGCTAGGTGCGCTCGCGTCATATCTGACGTCCTACCCCTCCCTCCCACCCTTACCATGGCGCTGATTTTCTCTATCCGCGGACGCGTGTCGTAGCGGACCTGTGGCTCCGCGCGCGCGTGCGTAGTGGGTGGTGGTGCACGTGCGTGCGTGCGTGCGTGTGTGCGTGTTGTGGTGTGGTGTGATGGTGTGTGGTGGTGCTGGGGCTGGTTGCTGGTGGTGGTGTGGTGGTGGTGTGTGGTGGTGGTGGTGGTGGTGGTGGTGTGGTGGTGGGTGGTGTGTGGTGGTGGTGGTGTGGTGGTGATGGGGTGTGGTGGTGGTGGTGGTGGTGGTGGTGGTGGTGCTGGTGGTGGTGGTGCTGGTGCTGGTGCTCGTGGTGTTGGTACTGGTGCTGGTGCTGGTTGTGGTTGTGGTGGTGGTGGTGGTGGTGGTGGTGGTGGTGGTGGTGGTGGTGGTGGTGGTGGTGGTGGTGGTGGTGGTGGTGGTGGTGGTGTGGTGGCGGTGCGGCGCGGTGGTGGCGGGCGGATGGGCGCGCGAGAAAAAGGCCCGCGCTGGGGCGAGAACGCCATCCTGAACGACGGAGGCCAAACACCGATCCGAAAATGAGGCCCACGCTGCAGCGGGAGCACGATTCGGAACGATTCGGGAGCAGAATGAGGCCGGCGCCTCAACGAGAGCAGCATTTTGGGAAAAAATGACGCCAACGCCTCAGCGAGAGTCCGTTTTCCCGATTTCTCCGGGAATCCTGTGTGCAAAAAACGGTACGCGGAGGGTGCGCGGCTCACACGGACGCCATCAGGGGAGAGGAGAGTATTTTCTATTGAGTAATTTGTGGGGAGGAATGAGGAGGAGGCGTCTTGGAGCTGGAGCTGGAGCTGGAGCTGGAGCTGGAGCTGGAGCTGGAGCTGTGGCTGGAGCTGAGCTGCAGCTTGAGCCTGAGCTGGAGCTGGGAGTTGGGGTTAAGGAGGAGGGGAGAGGAGAAGGGGAGGAGGAGAGGGGAGGGGGAGGAGAGGGGGGAGGGGAGGGGAGGAGGAGGGGAAGGACGACGAGGAGGAGGAGGAAGAAGTGAGACGGAGAGAAGCAGGGATGAGGATCGCAGGGGACGAGGCAGGAGGCAGTCGGAGGACGAGGGGCGCGAACGACAGCAGGAACAAGAGAGAGGATGAGGAGCGGAGGAGGGAGATTGACGAGGAGGGGGGGAGGGAAGAGGGGCAGGAGGGGGGACGGGAGGAGGAGGAAAAGGAGGACAGGTAGGGTGGAGGGGACAGAAGGACAGAAACTAGGAGGAAATCAGAGCGAGGGAAGAGGACGAAGCGAGAAGCAGGGATGAGGGAGGAGAAAGGAGGGAGATGTAAAGTGGGAGGAGGAGGAGGAGAAGGAGAAGTTAGAGGAGGGTGGAGGACAAAGGACTAGGGGGCGAAGGGGGAGGACGAAGACTGGGAGGGGGAAGAGAAGAGAGGAAACAATGAGGGATGCGGAGGAGGAAAACAATATGAGGATGGGGACGGTAGCGGAGGAAGCAGGGGAAGGAGGGGGGACGTTGAAGGCGGCTGGGGAACCTGATCTGGCTGGGACCCAAGAAATTCTGTCAGAAGGGGGGATGGAGCCAAATCCGCTCAAAATCGGTCCCCAGACCCATCCAGGGTTCCATCTGGTGTAATGTTTACCCCGGATCCGTATTTGTGTACCGTCCCAGGCCCCGAAAACGGCCCGTGGAGCCCGAAAAAGGCAAAAAAACTTCCCTGACCCAGAGTCTCGAACCTGCCCGCCCTTCCTGCTGGCCAGAACCAGTGCTGGGCCACCTCAGACCCCCAGACGGCTCCAAGGGGGACGAGGACCATCGGGTGAGGCGGGAGGGGGGCTCGACCGAAAGCTCCCCGCGGCTCCTCATGCTGCCTCTCGTCTGCGAACGCCTTGGCCTCCGACGGCCCGCACGGGTCAGGCCGCACCACCGTCATGCCCGCCTCGACGGCCAGGCCGAAGGCCTTGTCGAACGCAACCTCCCAGTCCTCGGAGGGAGGGAGGGGCAGAGGAGAGAGGAAGGAGGAGGGGGGATCAGAAGAGGCGGGAGGAAAGTGAGGAGGAGGGAGGAGGGGGGATCAGAAGAGGCCAGAGGCCTCGTCGAACGCAACCTCCTGGCCCTCGGAGGGAGGGAGGGCAGGGAAGGGAGGAGAGGGAGGAGAGGGAGGAGAGGAGAGGAGAGGCGAGAGGAGAGTCGGAGCAGGGCGAGTGGAGACGACGGCAGCTCGACGTCGGCCTCTGGACCCCTCCCGGGTTCCAAGGCGCCCCAGCTTCCTCCGAGCTGCTTTTCCAGCCGGGGGGACGAGGGGCCCGGCCCGGAAGCCGCCCACCGCTACCTCAGCTCGCCCTGCTCGGAGGGAGGGGAGGAGTCGAGAGGTTCCCTCTCTCCTCCTCCTCCTCCTCCTCCTCCTCCTCCTCCTCCTCCTCCTCCTCCTCCTCCTCCTCTCCTCCTCCTCCTCCTCTCCTCCTCCTCCTCCTCCTCCTCCTCCTCCTCCTCCTCCTCCTCCTCCTCCTCCTGCCTCCTCCTCCTCTCCTCTCCTCCTCCTCCTCCTCCCTCCTCTCCTCCTCCTCCTCCTCCTCCTCCTCCTCCTCCTCCTCCTCTCCTCCTCCTCCTCCTCTCCTCCTCCCTCCTCCTCCTCCTCCTCCTCCTCCTCCTCTCCTCCTCCCTCCTCCTCCTCCTCCTCCTCCTCCTCCTCCTCCTCCTGCCTCATCCTACTCCTCCTCCGCATCCTCCTCCTCCTCCTCCTCCTCCTCCTCCTCCTCCTCCTCCTCCTCCCCCTCCTTTTCCCCCTCATCCTCTTCCTCTTCCTCTGAGGGAGGGGAGGAGTCGAGAGCAGAAACGGCACCCTCACAAGAAGCACGCCGACAAGCACCACCGCTTCGTCAACGCGCCCAGGGAGGGAATCGAACGGGGCGGGGCTGTGCAGTCCACGCCCCGGGCCGCTCAGCAAACGCCCACCATGGGGGGCGGGGCGGTTCCTCCTCCCTTGAAGGAGGGAGGGCGCACGGTTCAGACGCCGGCACCGCAGTCCTGCTTCGTCCTCTCCGAGGGCTGGCCCGGCGAGGGGCCCTTCGCCAGGGACCTCCCACGAGCGGCCAACACTTCCGCACCCGCGCCCTCGAGGCCTTGACTCCGGGGCGCGATCCGCGCGGTCGCACGGATGCGCTCCGCGCGGGGCACCGCGAAGAAGCGACCCCCATCCGCGGGGTCGCCGCCCAGGGGCCCGGCCTGCGAGGCCGCAGACACGGAGGCGTCTTTCGCCCATCGGGGGCGGCCAAGAGGGGGGCGTCCAAGAGGGGTGGGGTGCAAATCATGACCGGCGGCACGTGCGCGGCACGGAGGGGGGGCTGGGGGCGTAATGAAATAAGAAGAGGCGCCATCACATCTGGGGTAATATCATGTCCCACGCAATGATTCCCCCCCCCCTAGTCATCACCCCCCTCTTTGCCGACCCCGAGCCCACGAGCCTGCCCCCCCTCCTCCCGCACAGCCGCAGGGGCAGGGCCAGCACCCAGAGGCCGGGCCGGAGCACCACGGCGGCAGCGCCGGCCGCGAGCCGCAGGCACCTATATGCCCAGGGGGGAGCTGCTCCTGGGAAGTTGTGTTTGGTATCCCCCCCGATGATGGAGGAGGAGTGGGAGGAGGAGGAGGAGGAGGAGGAGGAGGAGGAGGAGGAGGAGGAGGAGGAGGAAGAGGAGGAGGAGGAGAGGAGGAGGAGGAGGAGGAGGGGAGGAGGAGGAGGAGGAGGGGGAGGAGAAGGAGTGGGAGGAGGAGGAGGAGGAGGAGGAGGAGGAGGAGGAGGAGGAGGAGGAGGAGGAGGAGGAGGAGTGGTCCTCGCCCACCTCTTGGACGCCCCAGATCGCTGCGCCTTCGGCAATCGTTGGCCTCCTCCGGAGGCCAGGGCCCTCTTGGGGACCTCGCGAGTTCTCTGGGGAGGCCCTCCAAGGGGGGATGGGCGGGGGGGGAGGCGGATTGATCAGGAAGGAGAGGAAGAGGGGCGGGTGGGGTGCTGGAGGCCGAGGAGGAGCAGGGGGAGCAGGCGAGGAGGAGCGAGGAGATGGAGCGAGGAGGGACGAGGGAAGAGGAAAAGAGAGGATGACGAGGAGGAGAAGGGCGGAGAGAGGAAGCAGCGGGAGGACGGACAAGGGAGACGGAGCAGGTAGGAGGTATGAGAAGGGAGAACAGGTGGAGGATGGAAGAGGAAGGAGGGAGCAGGGAGGAAGAGGTAGGAGGGAGAAAAAACAAGAGGAAGGAACACAAGGAGAAGGAACACAAGGAGGAGTAGCAGCAGTGAGGAAGAAGGAGGAAAGAAGAGGCGCTGCAGGCCTGCATACGTTGAGAGGACGTCCCGCGCGAGAACGCGATGTTTCAATACATCGCGCGAAAGTGTAAGGCGGGAGCCGTTGTTGTTGCAAACAGGGGACCAACAACACAGTTTGGTGATCCCGCACTTCCCCTTGCAAAATACAAGGTGCGAGCCCTGGGAGGAGCACCTGAATTGAAAAACACAATGGTCATTGGGCAGGGCGGATCAACTATAAAATTGTTTTACAAATGAGAGTTCAAGGACGACTACGGCGAACAAGACGACGAAGACGACAGCGGCGGTGACGACGGCAACGACGACAGCGCCGACTAAGACGGCAACGGCGACCTCGGCGACATTGACGGCCACGGCGACTGACAACGAGCAGCCGCCGACGACGCTGACGGGCCTCCGCGCGAGCCGCGCCAGCCCTGCGGCGGCGGCCGCGAGGACGCCGGCGACGGCCGCAGCCCAGAGCAGCAGCAGAGCGAAGCTGAGCGGGCCGTCGCCGACCAGCCCCTCGAGCTCGGGCACGCGCCGCTCGGCGGCCCGAAGGGACGCCTCGAGGGGGCGATCCGCGGGGATGCGACGACGGCGAAGGCGGCGACGGACGACGAGGAAGCCGACAACGGCGAAGGCGACGACGGCGACGAAAAAAGATGACGACGACGACGAACAAAACGACGACGACGGCGAAGACGGCGAGGGAGGAGGGAGGAAGAGGACGGGGGCGGAGAATGACGGGGTGGATGAGTCTGGCGGGGAGGAAGGGGAACCAACGGGAGGAGGGCAACGAGAAGTGGTAAGGGGGCGGGGGGGAGGAGTAGCACTCAAGGGCATGTGCAGGCTGCGCAAAACGGACCGCGTCCTGCTGAACGAACCTGACCTGACCTGACCTCCCTCCCGTTCCTCCTCCTCCCCCTCCTCCTCCTCCTCCTCCTCCTCCTCCTCCTCCTCCTCCTCTTCATCCTCCCCCTCCTCCTCTGAGGCAGGGCTGTTCTGGGAGCCCCCTCGGCCGCACGGGCCGTATCACATGATACTCGCAATAACTGGAAAATCTGGTCCGACCTTTTGGCGTCGCTGGCTTGACATATATCCATATATGCACACACGCGTAATTGCACACATACGCATACGTATTGCAATTCCAGACGTCCAGACACATCCGTATACCCACGTGTGTACACAGTAGTACATACATGCATGGTACAAAAAGATCGAAGAAGTGCGAAGCGTTCCGTGGGGAAACGAAAAAAAGTGCCACCCTCGATCCCGCCTTCCTTCCTGCTTCTATCCCCTCATATCGCCCTCCCCCCTTTCCAGCACCACCCTCCTCGGGACGGTGGGGCGGAGGGCTAGGATGAGAGGAACGCATGTCGAGGACGTTTGTGTGGGAGGAATGGGCGGACGAAGGGAAGGATATGATGCCCTCCCACCACCATCCCTCTCCTTCTCTACATTGACCGCCCGTCCCTCCTCAATCCCCCTGCTCGCCCCCCCCCACCCCCTTTCATCTGCCTCCGATCCCTCAGCGTGGTGTTCGAGAAGGAGTAGCGACGAGATTGAGAGATTCAGGAATGGTCTGGGGATGGCGGGAGGGAGGGAGAGGCGGCGGCGGTGGGAAGGCCTTCTCTCCCTCCTCCCTTCGCACCACCACCCCTCCCCCATTCCTCTCCCTCTTGGTCACTCTCCCTCATTTTTTGAAGCTTGCGAGGGAGCGAGGGGCGGCGAGAGGGCGGGGTCAGGGGACACGGAAAGATACGAGGCGGATGGGGACATTGAGATGTGGTAGCGGTGGGTGGGTGGGGTGGTGGTGGGGGGGGGGCGGCCGACATGGACGAAGGGAGGTGAGGAGAAGTTAGGAGGAGAGGGAAAGGTGGTGGTGGCGGGAGAGCAGCCATTCCTCCCCTCCTTGCTAACACCACCACCGACCCCTCCCTTTAAGGTCGTTGGTGCTGGAGGGATGTCGGGATGGAGGGAGGGACGGAAACAACCAGATACGGGGAATGGAAGTAAGAGGGGAGGAAGTGACGGTGGTGGTGGTGGATTGGCCTCATCCCGCGCTCTCCCTCGCTCACACCCCCACTACCTGCATGCCTGACCCCCCTATCCGCTCCTTCCTCCTCTCCCCCTCCCCCAGGGGGTGGGGGGGGCAGAAGTTGTAAAAAGATTGTGGCGGTTTACAAGTTGATTGCATGCGTTGTGGATTTGCAAATGAAATCATTGTGGAGTCCTCTTGTGACGGCTTGACAAGTGCATCCCTTTCGCTGCGAAAGTGCAAATTGCTGTCTTGGAAGGTAGATCAAACAAGGCTTTCAATGTGCAACCCCGCCACAAAAGGAATCGATGTGTAAATCTGCAACAAAAAGAATCGAATTGTAAATCCGCCACAGAAGGGGATCAGCTTGCAAATCCGCAACAAAAGGATTCAATGTGTAAATCAGCCACAAAAGGCAACACTGTGCAAATCCGCCGCAAACGAGTAAATTAGCATCCGCGCCACACATGGAATCATGTGTGAACCTGCCACACCAAGGAATCAATTTGTAAATCCGCCACAGAAAAGGGGATCAGTTTGCAAATTCGCCACCAAAGGAATCAAATTGCAAATCCGCCACAAAAGGAATCAACTTGTAAACGCGCCACAAAAAATGGATTTGCATATCCCCCACAAGAGGAATACATGTGTAAATCCGCTGCAAAAGGAATTAACTTGCAAATCCGCCACAAAACGAACCACATTGTTAACGCGCCACATAAGGAATCAATTGCAAGTGCGCCACAACAGGAAACAAGTAAAATCCGCCACAAAAGGAATCAGCGTGCAAATCCGCCACATAATAAATCAATTTGCCGAGCGCTAAAGCAATAGAGCCGCATTCAGCGACAATTCTTTGATTTTTCATGTTTTTTATAGAGAACCAGATTTCGCTTGAGACCGGTCGATGTAAAATTCACACGGAGTCTCAAGAGAAATTGTGCTCCGTGTAAAATCGAACTAAAAGCATTGAAAAAGAAGGCTTCGCTCGAGACACCCTCCAAATTTTACATCAGCCGAACCTCATGGATTTAAAAAGTTCTGAGAGAGTCTCAAGCGAAACCTTACTTTCCGATGTAAAAAAGTTAAACACCTTAAACCTTTCAGAATTGAAAAGCCCAGGGAACTTCTCGCAGGTCCGGACCGCCCAATACTGTTCTATTTACTTCGCCCTCGACAAATTAATTTCTTGTGGCGCATTTGCAATTCGATTCCTTTTGTGGCGGATTTGCACATGTATTGATTTGTGGCGCTTTTACAAATTGATCCCTTGCGCGGCGGATTTACACATTGATTCCTTAATGTGGCACGTTTACTTGTTGATTCCTTTTGTGGCGGATTTACCTGTTGATTCCTTGTGTAACGATTTTACAAATCCCACCAGCCCTTTGGGCGTGAGTGGTTTAGGGGCTCTCTCTGTCCTCAACCCCCTACTCAACCCCCCTTCTTCCCCTTCGGGGAGGGGTTTACCCCTCCCCCTACCCCCTACCCCTGGACCTGGAGACGGAGTCCCGAGCGTGGTCAGGGGAGTCTTTTTCGACGCCTGGGAGGGCCAAAAAACGACGACCCTTACTAGGATTCTGGCCCCGAGGGGGGGGGGGGGGGCGTTTGGCGCCTCCGCTCGTCTTTGAAGCAGAAATCATTGATTTTACTAAGGTGTTGGCCCCATTTTGGACTTCTGAGGGGGCCGCGCCAATCGTCCTTCATAGCAAAATCATTGATTTTACGAATGTTTTGGGCTCATTTTGTCCTTCTCAGGGGGCAGCTCTACTTTGCGCTTCTGAGGAGGTCCCAAGAGGCCCCAAGATAGCCCCAAGAGGCCCCCAGGAGGCTCCCAAGAGGCCTCCAAGAGGCCCCCAAGAGGCCCCCAAGAGGCCCCAAGAGGCCCCCAAGAGGCCCCCAAGAGGCCCCCAAGAGGCCCCAAGAGGCCCCAAGAGGCCCCCAAGAGGCCCCCAAGAGAGCCCCCAAGAGGCCCCCAAGAGGCCCCCAAGAGGCTCCAAGAGGTCCCCAAGAGGCCCCACGAGGAGCCCGAACGATCACACCAGGACGAGGGGCCCGAACGACTCACACCACGAAGAGCCCGAACGACTCACACCACAAGGAGGGGCCCGAACGACTCACACCAGGACGAGGCGCCCGAACGACTCACACCACGAGGAGCCCGAACGACTCACACCACGACGCGGGCCCCGAACGACTCACACCACGAGGAGCCCGAACGAGTCACACCAGGAGGAGGGGCCCGAACGACTCACACCAGGATGAGGGGCCCGAACAACTCACACCACGAGAAGCCCGAACGACTCACACCAGGACGAAGAGCCCGAACGACTCACACCACGAAGAGCCCGAACGACTCACACCAGGAAGAAGGGCCCGAACGACTCACACCAGGACGAGAAACCCCAAACGACTCAAATCACGAGGAGCGCTTTCTCTCCCTCCTCCTCCGCCTCGTCCTTCTCCCGCTCCCCCCACAAGGAGGATGTACAAGGAGGCGGGAGGAAGGAGGAACAGGGGAGATATGCGGGGCCAAGCGGACACACGCCTGAAAAACACGACTGTCGGCATGCTTCGCAAGAGTTGCTGCTGTGAGATGGGCTGGTGGGGATACGCGAAGCGTAAAGAATTGATTCCCTTTGCGGAAGATTTACATGCTGATTCCGTGTGACCATTGAAGTGGCGAGGCCGTGTAGATTCGCTTAGTTGGGGCCGCCAATGCGAGCACAGGAAAATGCGAGCGTCGTCACACATGGGCTGCAGCATAGGACCGTAGAACGGCCAGTCAACGACCTCGCGGCCCAGGTTGATGGCCGAAGGGTAACAGCTGTTGTCCCTCAGCGCGGCGCTGCCGCAGTTCATAGGAGGGATAACGTTGCTGGTGGACGAGGTGGGCTGGCCCTCGCATCGATAGATCCCCATGCTGGTAGCGACACCGCGGCTAGTGGCGCAGCGCAGGCAGGCGAGGACGCACTTCTTGGGAGGGAGGACGTTACGCTTGGCGTAGGCCAGGACAAGCTCCTCACGTAAACCGCGCAGGACGAGGTCCACCCACTGGTCGGCGTCAACGACGTGACGTAAACGACGATCGCGGAGGTCCCGGGGCCCTCTGACGCGTGCGCGCGCAGGCAGGGCCTGGGATGGCACGTGGAGCCCAAAGGTCGTGCAAGATCGGGGCGAAACTGGCCGCGTACACGATGTGCTTTACAGACGTCGATCTCCTCGCGGAAGGAGATTGAGAACATGTGTGTGATGGCTGGCCTGATGTCCGAAGACTCCGCGCCCTTAAATGTTGGCCCACGTGGACCGTGGCCCACGATGAAAACTGATCGAGCCAGGCCTTGAAGAGCACCGAAGCAGACCAACGGTATGGTGGACGACGCGACACTGAATAGTTCAGGCAACGACGAGGACGGAAAGCTGAGGTATCGGGTAGCAGGCTGGAGCCAGGGCTGCGACCTACGATGGATGGCCGACGTATGGCGACGAGGAGGCCCATGGACACACACACACACACACACATACATATATATATATATATAGATATATATATATATATATATATATATGTATACATGCATACATACATACATACAGACAGACAGACAGACATATACATATATATATATATATATAAACACCCAATTTAATTAGCGCGCAAGGAGGCACATGTACCAGTCACTTCCCCCGCGGCGGAAACCGCGAGCGGGCACGGGCTGGCTCGGCGACGGCCGCGGAAGGGCGCAAGGAAGAAGGAGCTGCTGGCTGGCGACGGCCGCTGGCATGCGCGGACTTGCTGGGGCGATTCGCCTGCGTGGCGTAGCGACACTGCCTGAGCTACCAGCTGCGACGGCCGCTCGCGGCCGCTGTGGGGGGCGGGGACCTGCTGGGGCGGCGGCAGCGGTGTCGTCGTCGTCGTCGTCGTCATCGTCCATCGTCGTCGTCGTAATCATCATGATCATGATCATGATCATCATCATCTCCATCATCATCATCATCATCATCAGCATCATCATCATCATCAGCAGCAGCAGCATCATCAGCATGATCATCCGAATCATCATCACCACCACAACTATCATCATCAACATCAACATCAACGTTTCAGTTTCATCATAATCAGCATTAGCATCAGCAGCAGCATAATCTGCAGCATCATCAGAATCATCATCATCATCATCATCATCAGCATCATCATCATCCTTATCCTTATCATCATCATCATCGTCATCATTATCATCATCATCATCATCATCATCAGCATCATCATCATCATCATCATCATCATCAGTGTCACCATCATCATCATCATCATCATCATCATCATCATCATCATCATCATCATCATCATCATCACCATCAGCGGCATCCTCATCAGCAGCAGCATAATATGCAACATCATCATCAACATCGACATCAACATCTTCATTATCACCGTCATCAGCATCATCAACAGCATCATCATCAGGAGCATCATCATCATCATCATCCTTATCACCATCATCATCATCAGTGTCACCATCATCAACATCGTCAGCATGAGCTTCATCCTCATCAGCAGCAGCATCATAATCATCCTCCTCGTCGCCGTCGTCAACATAGTCGCCATCGTCATCAGCATAGCAATCGTCATCGTCTTCGTCATCGCCATAGTCACCGTCATCATAGCAATCGTCATCGTCTTCGTCATCATCAGCAGCATCGTCATCGTCGTCGTTGTCCCTCAGGCGGCCTCGGCAAAATCGCTGGCGCCGTCGTGGAGGTACGCGCTGTACACCTGTCAGGCCCGGCCAGCGAAACGCAGACAGGCTCTGCCCGCGGGGGGGGGGCAAAGTGACAGCCAGGCGTGATGGCGGCGGTCGCGGCCCGGCTGGTTCACGTTGGAATGACGTGGGCGCGAGTTTCTGACACGGCCTAGATCGTTCCATCTTGACCGATCCTCGCTGTCTGGCAGCGCAGATCGCTCAAGATTTACTAAGTTCAGGTCGCCAGTGGCGTTCAACCTTGAACGCCAGCGGTGGTATCGCCGGCGCGTCAAAGCGGCGCGAAACTGACAAAACTGGCATGGCACAAAAGGGAAATGTGCAATTTTCTGGGGAAGGGGTGCAAGGCCACGGAATGAAAGCGATGCGTTTGCAATCAGAACTGTCAAGCTGTTCGAGAATGTGATCTAAAGCCTCGTGCCAATCAAGTGTGCCTCGACTGCAACGACCTAGAAGATGCACGCCGTGGCCTTCATACAAAGTCTGCTTCCCGCGTCTCGTCACACCAAGTCTGAAATCGTGTTGGTATACGTGCACTCCTCGAGGGCTGTACAATGCCAACAGAAGCTCATCAAATGCGGGCTTCGACCGGGCCCCTTCGAGTGCGAATTTTACGTGCATGAAGCGGAACTCCCAACGATGTTTGTTTCTGTTCCAGCACAGCTGCGCACTCTTACATTCGATACGTTTACCATTTCTTGCCCAATCGTACACAGCAGAGGTTTTACCTCGAAGCTGCCCGCTGATACAGAGCCCATCCTGCGGATCGGAAAGAACCTCGTTTGGATGAATCATGCGATCAAGTTGGCGAACCATATTTTCCAAACACTCACCCCGCGTCTTGTTGCTGTAGCTCGACAGCGGGACATCTTCATATGCTTGTGCCATCTCAAAACGCGGGCAAGCTGCAAGAGCCTCTGTAATCCGATGATCGGAAAGTGGAACATCTGCTATGCGTCGGCATGAATTGGAGGGCTCGTCGAGCTTGCGAAGTATGTCGCAAAGTCCTCTTGACCAGCACGACGAACCACTACTACTTGAGATCTGGATTTGATATCCTGATGTATGTGTTCGGACACCACGAGCTGCAACTGCGAAAGACAAATCATGCTCGTACACGTACACTCTGTCTGGGCAGTACAACACCAGCACCAGCCTGTCGAAATCGTGGCCACGAGGCTGTTGCTCCATTAAAATCTTCACGCCCGAAAACGAAAATCTCCACGTACTAGTACGCTGTACATATGACAACCTCGCGTGCTTACATTGAACGCGACGTCCGCCGTGCATCCAGCAAAATCGGCCAGGGCCGCCTGACATCTCATTTCCTTGAAACGAAGGATCCTGATCGCACAATATGCCTCGCGCTACTCTTGCCAAGACTTCGGCGCGCTGTCTGCTCGGAAGCGTTGCTAATGGAGCTCGCAGATAAATACTTGAGCACTCTGTATCTCGGTACCTCCTCAGAATGTTAGACAAGAGCGTCTTCTCCGCATCCTTCACTGGTGCAAAATCCTCGCCGCCGGCAGTCGATAACGACGACGTCGTCGTCGTGTGCGGGCGAATCTGTCAGTCGGGCTGGCGGGACACGTCGTCGTCGTGGGCGAGTCGGTCGGGTCGGCGGGCGGGACACGCCGTCGTCATCCTCGTCGTCGTCGTTTGCCAGCGCCGGGCGTCGTTGCCCGGGCCGTCGCCGTCGCCATCGCCATGGCCGTCGTCGCCGTCGCCGTGGGCGAGTCCGTCGGTCGGGCGCTCGGGACACGTCGTCGACGTCGTCGTGGGCGAGCCGGTCGGGCGGGTGGGCGGGACACGTCGTCGCCGTCGTCGTCGCCGTCGTAGTCCTCGTCGTCGTCGTTGTCGTCGCTTGCAAGCGCTGGGAAGTGGGGGGCGGGGGTCCGAATCCCCCCCCTGCCCCCGACTTTACGAGGGGGGGTCCGAACCCCTTCCCCGACGACTTTCGCTCTGGGGAAGGGTGGGGGAGTCCGACCCCCCCCGGAACCCCTGACGTCCTCCCAGCGTGCTCAGAAGACGCTCGTTCGAATGTCGGAGAACGCGCTTGCAGGCACCAGGGAAGCCGCACGGCCTCGCAAGGTAGACCAGCTTGGCAATGAGCCGGCTAGCCCCAGAAGCATAAATACGGCATCACATGATCAAGGCGCACGTGCAGAGCCTGGCTAACGCAGCGAGCCGTGTGCGTCGACGAGAACGACGTGAACCAGCATGGCGTCAGGCAGCATGGTTTGGGCCAAGCTTGCCTGAGCCCAAGCGGCCACGAACACGAAGGAGAGGGTCCCTGTGAGAAACGCAGCCTGCACCTCAACGTTTTCCTCAAGACTGGCTCCTCAGTCTGGGTTGTTTGTTGACAGTCCAGGGGCCCGCGATGGGCCCCAGGAAGGCCGACAACGGCTGAAACAGCAAGAACCCCTTTCTCTCAGGACCCGTTTTTCCTATGGGTTGGTGGATTGCCAAATTTAGAGACGCCGTCCTGGACCTGTCTTGGGAGGGGTCCGGGGCTGCTAAGGGGTGAAGACAGATCCCGCGCTCGGGAAACCCAGTGCGGTCGACCTACGCGCAAACTAGCCACCAAATATGGAGATCACGAGAGAAAGTCAGGTTTTGCTCATGTTGCGCAGGGAGATAGAAGACAGCGCTACCACAGGACCTCGACACATCGCGGCTGCCACCCAAGTACGATGCACCCACGCCAGAAATGACGTAGGACAGAGAGCTGTGTGGACAGGGGAGAGCGCGACGAAAGGATCTCGACTCATCGCGGCCTCCCATCCCGCCCGATTATCGTCCCCCCTCCCTCCCTGAGACGACGACGACGACGACGACGACGACGACGACGACGACGACGACGACGACGACGACGACGACGACGACGACGACATCGACGACATCGACGACGACGACGACAATGATGATGACCACGACGACGACGACCACGACGGCGACGACGACGACGACGACGACGGAAGCGGCGGCCACGGCGAAGGCGGCGGCGGCGGCGAAGCTGGCGGCAAAAGCGGCGAACGCGGCGGCGAGGAGCCCGCGCCTGCCACGCCTCACGCGCCTGCTCGCGCGCCGCGCCGCCCTCGCGCAGCTGCGCGCGAAGCGCCTCCACCGCCCCGAGCGCCGCCTCACCACCAGGGCGGCGGAAGAGCGCACGACTTCGGCGGCGGCGGCGCCGACGACAGCGATGGCGGCAACGGCGGCCACAGCGGCGACGACGACGAGGACGGCGACGGCGGCGGCGCCGACGGCGGAGGCGGCGGCGGCGACGACCCTGAACCAAATCCTGGCCAGTTATTCGAGCTGTGCCCAGCGGTGGCGATGAGGGGGCCAGAAGACGGGGAGGAGCGGCAGGAGCAGGAGGAGGAGGAGGAGGAGGAGGAGGAGGAAGAATCGACCCTGGAGGAGGAGGAGGAGGAGGAGGAGGAGGAGGAGGAGGAGGAGGAGGAGGAGGAGGAGGAGGAGGAGGAGGAGGAGGAGGAGGAGGAGGAGGGGGAAGTGGCGCCAGCGGCCTCTCCCGAGCGCCGCTCGTGCGTGGGGGGGGGGCGGGAAGGGCCCTCCGTGCCTGCACCCGCTCCTGCGCCGCCAGCGCCCGCACCCGCTCGTGCGCAGCCAGGGCGGCGCCGGCCTCGCGCAGCACGGCGCCCAGCGCCTGCACGCGCTCGTGCGCCGCCAGGGCGGCGCCGGCCTCGCGCAGCACGGCGCCCAGCGCCTGCACGCGCTCGTGCGCCGCGAGGGCGCGGGCGGCCTCGGCGGCGCGCCCGCTCGCCTCCCGCGCGGCCTCCGGGGGGGGGGATAGCCGGGCCCGGAGCGCTCCGACCTCCTGCGGCGGCTCGCGGGAGCCTCCCGTGGCATCTTGCCGGCCCTCTTGCTAGCCTTAAGTCGGGGATGTTGGACGAAAAATGAAAAATAGTTATAGACAAATACCCCCACATGGCCAAATAATATTCAACAAAATAGTAGTCCCCAGACTATTTGCTTACTATTTTTGAAGATTCCCCTTGTAGAGGGACAGGCCCGACTTCATGCTAGCCGGCGCTGGCCGACGCTAATCGACACTGACCGACGCCAGGCGGCGCCGCATCGGGCACATCGACGCCGACTCGGCGCTCTCCCACCGACCACCAGACGCCAGCGCACGCTCATGCACTCTGGAGACGGAGTTCCAGTGGTGCTCCCGTGAGCTGCTGATTACCGAATCTCGCGTCGAGTCGATCGGATCGGGGGGCGCCTTCGAGGCTCGTCGTGCCTCTGTAGGGGAGTCATCGCGGCCCCACGGGTGCGGAAAACGCACCCCCGGCGAGGCCCAGGATCTGCGCGGCACCGGGGGGAGCGCCCCGCCCAGAACTCCAACGTCGATCACTTTGGCTGTTGGTTTTCCTTCACGGCGGGGGCAGCGCGAGAACGCCCCCACTACTGCACGGGAGTCGGCGCGGGCAGCCCTGCCGCAGGACCGCCCTCGCCCTCTCCTCTCGAGCGAAACAGGGCCGCGGGCGCGGGGAGGAGGGAGGGGGGACGGCACGGCAGACGGGGAAGGATGAATCGGGAGTCTCTGAGATCTGGCGGTTTGGGAGGATGTGTCGAGCACCGCGGCCTTTTAAACGCGTTCCGGAACGGATTTATCCTCTGGTCCTCCTCCTCCTCCCCCCGCCCCTCCTCCTCGCATCGCATCGCATCGGCAAGGCTGGAAGTCCGTAGCCTGCACAAGGGTGAAGCCGAGCAGGACAAAAGAGCAGAGCGCGAATTCATGCACAGGGAGAGAGAAGGGGGAGGGAGGAGGGCCCAGGCCTAGCCCTGGCTACCGCGAGGGTAGTTGGGAAGCCCATGAGCCATGCAGTCATCCGCCAACCGATGCTGATCGTAGGGGTCGAGCGGCACGTGGAAAGCCGCCGCCCATTCAGGCAGATCCCACTCGGTCAAGGCGCCGCGCGCGCTGGTGAAATTGCGATGGATGTCAGCAAGCAAAGAGGAGGCGAGATGACGACAGAGGGCGCTAGGATAGACCTTCGCACGACCAGTCGCCCAGGAACGATCGCCGTGAAGCCCAAGGAGCGCCACGTGGGCGCATCCCCCACAACGGCCTCTCCGAGGCCTGCAGTCCGTGAGCCCCCGAAGCGCAGGACAGTGGACCGAGAGAAGCCGCGTGGGCTGGAGGGATGGGCTGCCAAACTGACACTGATCAATGTCGACAGCCTGCACATGGGGCAATCGGGCAAGCCTGACCATTTCGGGGAGAAGCCAAGAAGAGGGGATGCCAGACCTGGGGTCGCGCGGGGCGGGATGTTCCATGATACAAGGAACTGAGTACCTCCAACACTGATACATGAACAGTATCATCGTCTGAAGCAACGAGTTGCCGAGACCCACCTGTTCCGCCTCACGGGGCCTCAGGTAGGGCAGGCCCCAGAGCTGATCGGGAGACCTGACGGGTCGGGGGGGCCGAGTGGTACCCTCGCATGGAAGGTGGCGAGCCGCGCTCCATGTTTCACACGGCGGTCCTCCCAGCACTCCCAAGACGCGTCCCTGGGCCACAAGGTTCAACCAAAGACCCACCGTCTCGGGATCGGTGAGATCCCCTTTGGTAGCAGAGTGCGCCACGTCGATGCTGAGTACGTAGATGCGCATGGCATGCTGCTGCAACAACTCTTCAACATGGCGCTGGACATCCTGCTCCCTGCGATGACCAGAGAAGAGATGCAAAACATATCCCTGCGGTTGCGCGGGCGGGGCTTGGGGTCGCAGTCCCTCAAGAGGGGGGGGGGGGGCCTCCTCCTGCGGGGCGAGAGGGAGATGGACAGCAGCCTGTTGAACGAGGGTGGCGGTGGGGAGGGCGGGTCCCCGGAGTCTGACGACTGGGAGACTCGCAAAGTTGTCCTGCCTGCCAAACGACCGATTCTTGCTGTGCTGCTTTTTGCGTTCGAGGATCTGCTCCAGGATGGTTTCTCTCGGGAGCGGGTGCGTGGCCTGCCACTGAATCATGCTCTGTCTGCAAATTTCACGCCTGTGTATGTGCTTGAGCAGACGAGCATTATCACGAAAATCCTGGAGACAAGTCTGACACACGTGTCCAACGACGCACAGCTCGGGGGTATCCTGGGACTTGTGATACTTGGTACGATGGATACGGAGCTGGCGAAGCGAAGGATGCGTATACCCGCACTCATAGCAGAGAAAAGAGGCAGGCGGCGGCGGCGGCGGGGCGGCAGCGATCGTCCCAGCTATGATGAAGTCAAGCTTTTTAGACCACTGATGCCTCTGACCCTCTTGCCTCTGGACAAAGATGGCGCTTCTAACGGCAGCGTTGAGGGCAGTTCTGAAGCCTCTGGGATCACCTATGAGCTTGCGAATCCACCCCTGAAAGACATCGCCCCCGGGTCGTTCCATGGGACAGGAGTGTTGATCAAGCCACTGAAGGTCCTGACGAACAAGGGCCCCCCAGGAGCCAGTAACGCCCCAGAGAGTATCCAGGAGCAGCCTGAGAACAGAAGGGGCCCTGTCGGGAAGCGAGACACGAAGCAAGTACCTGAGCCTGGCGACGGACAAAACAACTCTTATGGGAAGCCGTTCAACTCTAGAGATGATGTCTTGGTACGCAACCTGGAAGTTGTTGTTGTTGCTCTTGGGAAGTCCGAGAGCCGCACGATAAACCATGGCATGAGCGGCCTGGACCTTCTGCAAGAGAAGCGCGGAGAGCGGACCCCACGTGCAGGCAGCAAAGAGCAAAACAGAAGAGGAAAGGGCTTCGCTGAGAGTGACGCGGGCCTTCTGACTCAGAGCCTGCCGTTTGGCCACAGTCGCTCGGATCGGTGTTAGAGCTTGCCTGGCACCCGAGATTCGGGCAACGATTTCCGGAGCCATGGAACCACCCTGATCGACCCGAACCCCCAGGACTTTATGCGTGGCAACCACCTGAACACACACACACACACACACACACACACACACACACACGCCACTTGGGGGAGATAATACGGGGAGCCTCTCCACAGAAGGCTTGAAGCCTGGCCGCCTTGGATCCCTTCCCTCGAAAGGCGAGCATGATGACAGTCTTGTCAGGATTCAACTTCATCCCAAGACGACTGACCCCCTCATAAAGAATGTCAAGCGTCTGCTGCGTGGTTCCTAGGAGATCCTTAGCGCGCGTGGTGGCATTGACAATGTGCATGTCATCGACAAACGAAGTGGTGGGGCGGGCACTTTCGACGTCCTTGGGTCGGGCAAGAAGGGGGGGGGCCGAGGGGAGCTCCCAGATGAGCCCCCTGTCTTGCATGCTGGCGTCAACATAAAGATGCACCTTGGTGAACACAAGATTAAAAACATCGGTGGCAGGGATGGTGCCAGGTCTAGTGCCCGTGCGGGGTCGAACATATCCCTGACTGCCCTCAGTCTTCCAAAAGGCCCCAGACTGACTTTCTTGCAAGAGGGCAAGCAGGTGGGAAGAGGGGAGGGTTTTCTCGAAAACGGGCCTATCCGTTTCGAGCCTAAGACCAACCGCATGAACAAGCACAGGTGGCAAGTCACAAGTGAGAAGGATGTGAGAGATGTCCTCCTGATCCTGCGGCAAAGAGAGTGCAAACTGTCTGATGACGGAATAAAAAGCATTGGAGAGATCAAGAAAGATGGCTGTGCTGCTAGCCTTTTTGTGTTGGGCAATCTTCCAATGCAACCTGACAACGTGCCCAGAGGTGTCGCAAGACCGCCCAGGGAGGCCACCCTGCTGTGACGACAGCAGCACCTGTTGAAGAAAGTCCAGCGCACGACCCCTGACGAAACGATGGAAGAGTTTACCTATGGTGTTCGCCTTTAAGATGTTGCGCTGATTGCGCGCCAGGAAAACTTCCTTGGCTCCCTTATAGAACCAAACAACCCGCCCGTCTTTGAAGCCAAGGGGCTCCTTTCCTCCCATGGACGTTTTGCAAAGCAGGGGAAGGAAAAGGGCGGTCATCGCCTCGGGCGCAACGTGTTGTAAGGCGTCGCGCAGCCCATCAGGGCCTGCAGCAGTGGTCATAGAGGCCCTTCGCATGAGAAACTGGACATCGAGATGGGTGGGAATGCATCCAGACTCGAGAGGGGGGACCTGGCCAGCAACAACGGCAGGGGGCTGCATGACAAGAGAGACGGGAGCGATGCACTTCCCATCCCACGCATAGTGATGCGTCTGCTCAAGAGGATACTCAGCAGGAAAATTCGGACTCCAACACTCGCGTGCAACCCTTTCCTCAGCTCGCGGCCAAGGTAAAGAGCCAGTAGAGCAGGTCCCTCCTTTATCTTCACTGTATCCTGGTTTCTTGAGTGACATCGGCGCGCTGCCCCCTCCCTCCGCGCTGTCGGAGCTGTCGCGGTCGCGGCGCGGGTTCACGATCGGGGGGGCGGCGGGCGCGGGCGCACGCAAAGAGGTTGCACAGGGAGCAAGAGATGACACAGCAAGAGGGAGCTGCAACGGACCAGGCGGGTTTTGGGATCCTCGTTCTGTACCAGCATTGCGCCTCCTTTCAGTCTCTGGGAAGGGGGTGCCACAAGCGGGGGGAGCCTGAGAGCACACGGGGGGGCAAGAGGGGGGTGCGCCCTGTTGTAATAATCAACAACCTCTTGGTCGGTGAGAGCCTGCGCTTTCTCAATACCTCCGAAGAATTCTTGCATGTGCTGC